ATCAAATTAAAATAAAGGTATATTATCAAATCTATGATTTAATAAATTATCTTTTGAACATGCACTTTTTAAGGAATAGTGTCATGTTGCTACTTCACTAGCCAACTCGGTGTCCAAGCAACAAAAGAGACTACATGTGAAAAACAACTTGTCAACACTAACAGAGTCTGAAGAGTCTGCCCTTTACAGTCACTTTTACATAAAAAATAGTACTCTTTGCCATCCTCAGTTTCTATTTTTGAGCTAATTTCCTGAATTTGTTGAAAGCTATATTGTGAAATGCCACAGAATGTTGAAAATAAGAAAACTACTCAATACGAATAACATTTTCCAGTATATCCAAGGCAACCTTTCTCAAACTTACCTCCTTCAATTCCCATTATCTATTCTCTCCTATTACCCTGAACACACACACTTTGACAATTCACTCGTGAAACGGTGTGACCCTTTGTATTCTGGTGAATGTGGTGTATTGACAGTTTAATTAACAAACCCCTCATACAGAATGTCTGCTGCTGTCAGAAACCACTAGATCCCGTGGACATGCCTCACCACCTCCTACCAAATGACCAGCTCTAGATGGTAGCAATAGTGACCTGCACCTGCTTGTATGTCCAAAACCACCTTACAGTACATCCATCTTTCCTGCAAGGGCTGTTACATTGAGAGGCAGTAAATCACTGAAAACAGTATGTTGGTACCACAATCTTCTAGAATGAGATTAGGTTTGTCTAAAAATCTGCTTCGCATCCCATTAATCATGAGGCAAAGAGTGGAAAAGGAAAACTGTCATGTCTGCGTCCCACTCTGATAAGAAAGGGTAAATATCTGCTCTTGCTTTTTAAAGGGCAGTGTGCTACTGATGTAAGGTTAATTCAAACCATAGGCAAACACCACAAGCTTCCCTACAGCAAAATGGGGAGATTGAAATCCTCAGTCCCATCAGCTGATACATTTGGTAGGTGAGTGCTCATAGGGGCCAATATCATTTATAATGGGTGTGGTTCCCCTCCAGGGCCCACAATGAACACATCCATGTAGCTGTTACTTTCCTTATTGTGTTGTGTGTGTTAGTGGGAGTAGCGGTTTGAATACACTACATGAAACATGTCAACATCACACAACATTTCACTTCCTCCACAAAAATAAATGAACATACCGTACATAAAAAATATATATGACAAAAATGATAAATACATTAAATAAATAACAACAAGTTGATGAAAAATGGTTGTCAAATAAGATTGCATCCCCAATCATACTTGTGATACATGCTTGCTCTTCCTTATTTTCTCTCTCTCTCTCTCTCTCTCTCTCTCTCTCTCTCTTTCTGTCTCGGCTTCCTACTCCATCTAGCTTCCCATCCATCCCTCCTGTGGCTATTCAACACAGTTGTGTTCCAGACAAACCATCTGGTGCACTTTATTAATGACTGACCCTACATGGCCTAGACGTCGCCTAGCTGCCACCACTCGCTGTGTGTGTGTATCTGTCTTTAGGGCTGTGTGTGTGTATGCGTGTAAGAACAGGTGCACGCTGACTGATGATGTGATGTTGTGGGCAGCTTTAACCACTGAAGCAGGTGTACTGGTTACAGGGACTCTTACATATTATTCTGACGCCCCATCTCTGTCCCTCTCACCTTTTAATATCCTCTGTCATGCACAAACATTCCCTTAAAGAGCTCCTATCATGCTATTTTTGGGCATATATTATGGGTCTCAGATATATACAGATATGTAAACAATTTCTATGATGTGTTTTGCTCAAAATACCAAACAGATCATGCATTTTAGGCATCCCTCATATCCCTCTGTTTCAGCCCTGTTAGAGAATGGCTGATCTGAGTCCTTAGCTTGAACAAATTAAAAGAGGGGGAGCTTGTGCCTGCTCAGAATTATATGAGATACAGCTAAATGCTGCTGTGATTAAATGCCATATCATGTTCCAAACCACATCAAGGATTATTTCTGAAACAGTATGGAGCTCAAATGCTTTTTCTCTTGCGGGTTTACCACAAGGTGAGTTTCTTTTATTATCTCATGCTTTTTTACACATACTCTCTCCAGTACAGGTTAGCTCTGAGTGTTGCTTGCTCATGTAAACAAAGTGCATATTACGTCCAAAACACGTCGGGCATTGTTTCTGATAGCAACTTTTTGATAGTGCCGTGGGTCCACATTTCCGATATTACGTCATTTCGGACGCAAATCTGGATCAGCTCCGTTGTACCCCCGTTTTTAGAGATTTGGGTACGGAGGAAAAGAGAGAGGGTTTTGTTTTCTGACACTTTGTGAGTTCCCCGACAGACATATGTATGTATAAAGGACATTAAAAAGAGGATTTTGCAAGACCTTTGGGATAAACATTTGGATGACCAATGAGAATGGCTATTAGAATGCATGATGACAATGTGATGTGCGGTCTTTTTCTAGGCAGTTTTAAAAATAAACCAGTTTCTAAAACACTTGACCTTATAGTCATTATTAGAGAAACAATAAAACTAGCTATCAAAATATTTTCAAACAAACAAGAAAGGCTGATTTGGCAAGAAACAGAGACCTACAATATGCTACATTCTGGCAATCAAAGAGCTGCTTGTGCAACGGAGTCCAGGATAGATGTGTGCTGACATCCAAACGCTGACAATAAAAGTCGGATGAGACAGTTGGAGGAGAAAGAAAGCAGAGGGGAAAAACATAAGAAGAGAAGCAGTGATGTGGTTGTCTGGGGATTGATCCCTCTAAGACACACTCAGCTTCTCCTCAGAGAACAAGGAGAGATAGGAGACGGGGGGGAAAGAGAATGACTTATGAAGACGCTACACTTGAAAGAGATGTGTCAACACTTTGATGGTAAAGAGAGAGAGTGCAAATGTAAGAAGAGATTGTATAAGGTGCAGCATAATGTAGCAGGTCAGACTAAAGAAAAACGGTCTGAGAAAAACATTTCAAGTTTCATATAAAGATAGAATGATCTAAGTCAGCAACTATGAAAGGGACAACTTTGACTTGTTTATCAATGGCAATGAACCAAATAAGCAGTCATTTTCTCCGTTTATTAAGCATTGCTTAATGAAGGAGGAATATAGCCTCATTTACAAAAACACGATAAAAGATAAGCATAAAGGATGTAATGAGCATAAAGTGTAAGTGTTACTGTAGAGAGTATTCATGTTCATAACAAACTTTTCTGTTCATTTACATTTATATAAGTTACATGTAGCATCCTCAACACAAAAGTAGCTGAGACAATTGTGTGGTAAAAGGTCAAGAAAATGCTGCTGAGGCTGACGTGTTCAATCTGTGCTTCTTTCTTGCACAAGCCTTTCCTAACAATTATGGCTTCATTAGCAGATTTAAAGAGCGGCGAGAGGGAAGGAGAGACTATCTGTCAGGAGCTGTGTGGTCGTGCAGAGAACAGTAAGAGTGTTGTTTGGATATTGGCAACTAGGAAACTGCCTCATGTTGAGGTCAAGGAAATATATTTCTCGTGCGATTTCTTTCTTTAAATACCTTATTAGTCCATTTCTTTAACACAAAGCTACAATCCTAATAGGCAAAAAGTCACCTATCATTGTGGAGTGTTTGATAATTATGGGTTTTTAAGAAGAATTACTGTATTAAGATTTCTGTTCTTTATGTGCAAGTTTAGATTTTGTTGTGGTCCCAGTTAACTTGCAGCAAGAAATGTTTGAATTTAACAGAGGCTTTAACATTTTAACATTAGCACCGTTTGCTTTCATCCTGTATGTGTACCATGTGTGTCTGTCTGTCATAAGGGGAGTGTGACATCAAAATTCTCACACTCCCCCACACACACGTCCTTCAGGATTAGTAACATTTGTACAGCAGTCATGACAGAACTAGAACATGCTTTTACATTTTCAGATGATAGGGGACGGCCTGTGTTTCCTCAATGCACACACACACACACTCACATGTGCATGTATGTGTGCACTTACAGTACAGTATATGCATGCATTCAAATAAGGACTCAGTGCAAATGTTTTTACCTACGATAAATATGTATTATGCAGAACTCCTTTAACCACATTTTAGACTATATAAGACCTTTTTAAAGACCCTTTTCCAAACGTTTTAGGATCTTATTGCAATTATCAGTATATATCTGTTACTTGAGCAACATTTTGACTTACATTTACTATGCATTGATTGAAAGACAACTCAAATAAATCGTACTTGCTATGGATTCAAACAAATTGTATTGTGGTATATTTTGCCATTTGCGGCAACATAACAGCAGTGTTTCCCCTATATACAAATAGTGGCGGCGCAGCGCCGCTGCTGAAATATGAGCGCCGCTGCTAGGGGGTGCCAGCCAGGTAACAAAAAAAAAGAAAAAGAAAAGATTTTTTTAACTTTTTTTTTTTCTTCTTAAAATAATAATAAGTGGCGACCCTTTTTCATTTTTGATTGTTTGTTATGTGGATTTGTAGTATTTGTGTTACTGTATGTTCAATAAAGGTGTATTTTTGCTAAATCTTGAGACATTGCCCCGGACCCCCCTAGAGGATGTNACGTCCACCCCCCAATTCAAACATGTTCATACAATACTGAATACATTTGAAGCCATTTTGACGTCTATTACCTATGTCAATAAGTTTCTGTTTTTAAGGTGTATTTGTCTTTTGTAGAAATTTTTCATTTATTCTTTACATATAAAATGTCGCCTAAAATCTCACCTAGGGCAGCAAATTGTCTAGAACCGGCCCTGGTACTAGGCCTCAAGAGCCTTTCTTGTGCAGACACATAGAAACAAATTGGCGGGGCGCACTTCGCACGCACTAAAAAATTCCACGCGCTCCTCGCTCACATTATGCTGGGCCCACATGCCTTAGCACCGCTGCTATGACTCCATCCTAGGGGAAACACTGAACAGTCAAATCTCTAACTTTCACTCCTGATAATATTTAACTTAACTTAACTTTTTCAGAGTACTAGTAGTGAAGGAATCTCAGTATCTTTGTCCACACTCACCACAAGTGCTGGAACTTGCTCCATCTTGGCGGCAGGTGTACCGGGCCTGGGGTAAAACTGGTTGATGAACAGACTGGGGAATCGGTAGAGCTTCACCAACTCTACCGTCTCTTGGAAGTCTTCTTCTGTCTCACCAGGAAAACCGCAGATTAAATCCGTAGCAATGGTAACACCTGGGACCCTAAAAGAGAGACGAAGAGAGCTTATTAGCAAGCAAAATAAACAACACATTTCTGTCTGTTAAACCATTTTAAAAACAACTGGAGAAAAATGTGAACATCACACAAGCAGAAATGATCATTGCATGATTATCATGATCCTAATACCTTCTCTGTATAAAAGTAAACATAAAAAAACATATCAGAAATAATGGTAATGTAAATAAGGAAATATGGAAGCAATATTAACAATATTATTTCAGCAGAATCCTTTAGGAAACACCAGTCAGAAATAGGTTACATTTCAGTCTAACAATCCTTAGCCTCAAAATATTCTTTGATCTATTATCTAAAAGGATTCTGAAGTTCACAATTCACAGACACCTTCCCCCTGTTGATACGTGCCTTTGGAAACTATTGGAATGACCATATCATTAAGAAAGGCCAAAGTTTGTCCCCATAGACTCATTTAGCCAGTCAAACCTTGGTTAGCAACCTCTGCCACCGATCACTAGCAATTGATTATTGACCCAGTGGCTTATTGGATTAGACGTAGCCAGTAGTTTGTGGGAATAGATGCATCGATTGGTTCTATGTATTTTGTTTGTATTGACAGCAGTTTGACAGCTTGTGCAAGAACTCAAAGGCTAAGTTACTGTTGTCTTTCAGAGAACCGTGTGTCTTGAGAGTACATACTTGACATTGCAATTTACATTTCGGCTAATATGTAATCTGTATGTTGTATTGCAGTTTGATCCCAACATAATTCAATGTAATCTTTGATGGCTAGAGTTAATAATTCAGCAAGACAACATTTTTGTTTTTAGCAGCAAAGACCAAATTATTTTTGACCAGCTGGCTTTTCATTGGCCTTTTTTTTCCTTCAAAATCAGATTGGGTATGGTACTCAATACGGAAGTAATTAGAAGTAATTGTCAATACAAGCAAGCCATGACATTGATTATATGTCTTCTATCAAACATTAAGATGGAGTGGAACAGGAGGCACACTGGTGCCTCTTAATGTGACGTGTTATATGGAAAGCAGTCTGCACAAGAAGCCATGATGTAATTAGTAACAGACAACTTAACAGATTTCCTTTCATAAATCTTTGGGTGAAAAGAAGGGGACGGCCATTGAGACTGAGCAAACTATCAATCACCTGTAATTTCTGTTTGCTTCTTACTACTCACTCTTTCATTCAATCTTTTTTCTTCTCCGTTCCTGACTAATTTTGGAACAACCATCTCAAATGTGATGTTGTAGTTCTTTAACTGTTAATGTTCCCTCATCTTACAAATAAGGACCTAGCTAAAGAATTGCTTCCAAAAAAGAACCTGATCGAATAAAAGCAAGAATATGAAGGATCAACTACCTCTTGTAGAAAACCTTAAAGACATTAAGACAATAAACAAACACACACATAAGCATTAGTGACAGACAAAGACAGCTTAACTTAGACATTGAGAAAAGAGTGTAAAAGAAATTTTCTCTGCAATCGACAACAAGATGCATCTTTAATAACATTAACTTCCTGCATCTGCAACCCCATGATAACCTCTGACCTATTGATGACTTCCAATTGGCTTATGGTCATTAATATTAACCAATGGCCTGCAGGCACAGGCATCCTTGACCTCTAAGATCCGCCTGAAAACTACCCTTTGGAAAAGCAAAACCAAATAAATTAAAAACTAAACAATCTGAGCACGGATGAATACATGAATAATTCTATGTTTGTGATTTAAATGTTCTTTCTAGACCCCTCAAGCAGTGGTTCTGACACCCCTGAGTATTTACCAGAATACACAGTTTTAATCCTCTACTTTGTTAAGTAAACAAAAGACTATTTGCTGCCTGTAGGCTTTTTACAATTAATACTCGAGGAGAACAGTCTGAAAACGGAAAGATATAGGTCATTTTCTGGAGCCAAGGTTTCCTACTGTGTACCCACATTACGGTCACCAGTAGGCAACATTTGGTAGGCCACATTTATGATTGGTGCAGCCTATCAAATCTAATCACATCAAAACATTCTTGTCCTACAGGGATGAAAGAAAAGTTGAAAATGAATAAAATCACGTTATTTATTGCTCGTCACAAGAGTATAAAGAAATCTATAATATACTCCTCAAGCTATTTCATTAATGATACTAAGAAGGGAAGTGAATTAAATTAACATCCAAACAAACAAGCCCATTTCTTTTCTAGCCTTAATAGATCTAAAATCAGTTTTATCCCCCCAGGGCGTTCATATCCAATTTGCAATGGCCCGTGGTGGTCGTAGTGGTGAGTTGGTATGTCTTTCTCCTTTAATAGGAAACACTAACAACATTTACACCATTGCTGGCAGAATTGTAGAATTCAGGCCAGGGGTGCCAAGTAACACACACGGATAAGATACTGAGATAAATAGCAGGGAGAGAGACTGGTGTGAATTGACTTTTGTGGATTTTCCTAAGGTGGCGGCTGAGAGGGAAAAAGCACGGGCGCCACACTGTCATTTTGACACCTCTGTCTCTCCCAGATCTAAGGGTGATGGAGGTGTGATGTGCGATACTAATGAACAAGAACCACTCTCCTTGTTAAAATGGGAGAGGAGAAACATGTCTTGTTATTGTTCACCTTTAAAAAAACAGAGTATGCGAGAAACAGAGAGGCAGAGACACAGAGACGGAAAAGGAGAAAGTCAAGACGACAGATTAGCTGTCAGATCAACTAGCTTTCAATTAAACTGATGCAGGAAGAGGGATCTTAGGCCCCGGCCACACGAGGACGCATATGGCTAAACGCATAGGATTAACGCAATCGCAAAAAAGCTTCAGTCCACACGCAATGTTCACCGGATAGCTTCTGTCCACACGAGACAGCTCCGTTTAGCTCCAACCGCTGGAGAAGCTGCAGTACATATGCAGGAGCCTGTACGTGGCGCTGTAATGCTATGTTCAGACCGGACGCGATGCGACGTTTGGGGGCCGCGCGATTACATGTAAAGTCAATGCAGACATGCCATCTTCCTTACAGAGCCCCTCCTCCAACACACACGAACGCGCACATGACCAATAAAGGCACGAGATAAGTTTGTGCACAGATGGAAGGCTGACAGGCAGGTAGGCCATCCAGTTACTTTAGCCGGGCCGGCTCAGATGATTGGTCGTGCTTTTTACAGTTCCACGGCTTCCACAGATGACATTTTATGTATTTATTGTCAAAACATTTAATTTATTCATTGCTATCGGGATGTTAAGAGCATTCCATGGAATATAACTAAAATTGTTTCTGAAGTGAATTACCTACCACACCTTTAAGGCGAGGTAAGTTTATTTTTATAGCACCTTTCAACACAAGGCAATTCAAAGTGCTTTACAAAAATGAAAGTCATTCAGAAAATGGCATTTAAAATCAGTCATTAAAAAGAAAAGATAATAAAATAAACATTAAAAGAAAAATACATGGATAAAAGTTACAGTGCAGTTTAAGATATGAATAGTTCAATTAAAAGCAGCGATAAAAAGAAAAGTCTTCAGCCTGGATTTAAAAGTAGTCAGAGTTGCAGCGGACCTGCAGGTTTCTGGGAGTTTGTTCCAGATATTTGGAGCATAATAACTGAACTAAATTTGTGTGTCATCCGCATAGCTATGGTAACTTATTTTGTTGTTCTTCATTATCTGAGCCAGTGGTNTGGGTTGAGGTCAGGACTCTGACTGGGCCACTCCAGAAGGCGTATTTTCTTCTGTTGAAGCCATTCTGTTGTTGATTTACTTCTGTGCTTTGGGTTGTTGTCCTGTTGCACCACCCATCTTCTGTTGAGCTTCAATTGGTGGACAGATGGCCTTAAGTTCTCCAGCAAAATGTCTTGATAAACTTGAGAATTCATTTTTCCGTCGATGATGGCAATCTGTCCAGGCCCTGAGGCAGCAAAGCAGCCCCAAACCATGATGCTCCCTCCACCATACTTCACAGTTGGGATGAGGTTTTGATGTTGGTGTGCTGTGCCTTTTTTTCTCCACACATAGCATTGTGTGTTCCTTCCAAACAACTCAACTTTGGTTTCATCTGTCCACAGAATATTTTGCCAGTAGTGCTGTGGAACATCCAGGTGCTCTTTTGCAAACTTCAAAATGTGCAGCAATGTTTTTTCTGGACAGCAGTGGCTTCCTCCATTTTATGACCAACTTATACAGAAATCCAGGTAATTCCAAAGGGTTCACATACTTTTTCTTGCAACTGTACCTATTATGTGTTTTAAGAGACATGAGGTATCTGATCAATAAACAGAAGACCAGATGCAATTTTAACTGAGTGTATAAATAAGAAAAGACTGATGAGTCTCTTTGTGGGAAAAGGAGATAAACAGACAGAATACGTCAAATGAGTTATTATCCGTCAGTGAGGCATGGGGAAATAGTTAACAACGGTTAGTATTGATCAGAGAACGATATCAGAAATGGTATAATTAATCAAAAGGAAATGAAAGCAAAGCATCTTATATCACCTAACGTAAAGACAAAGAAAAATACTAAGAGTACAAATGATTGCAAGTAGAGATGTTGAATATAAAGTTTAAAAAAAGAGAGGGACATCACATTTTACCAAAATGTAAGAGGTACAAAAAAGGAACACGAGACACTGTGGTTAAAACATAGAGGAAAAAGTGGCGTAACATTTTATGGCAGGCAGCAGTTATGTAAAGAGTATAAATAATAGAGCCCAATGTTCATCACCTTTACTGCCACTTCAAATTGAATTTTGAAATGCCTCCTAATAGATATTGCTCTAGAAGCTACATTTAATTAGTTCTCTGTTTAACCATGTCTGAGACTATGAATGATCTGTTTTAATGGAAAGTCAACTAAATGTACCTGTATGATGAGAGACAAAGGCAGGATGGACTGATTTGTACATCTAGCAGTCAATCACTGACCTCATGGCTAATGCTGCAATTTCTGTATCTACTTCAGAATAAAAAGACAATACAGCCCCTGAGGCCCCTAAATTAAAAGTGATAATAGTGCAGTGAAAG